GAGCATGAAAGGGGCAAGGGGCAGAGGGAGAAGCCGGCTCCCTGATGAGCAGAGGGCCTGATGTGGTACTTGATCCTGGGACTCCAAGATCATGACCTGAGCCGAAGGCAGTTGCTTAACCAACTGAGCCACCTAGGTGCCCGAGACACTGGATTTTATTTAAAACTATTTTAATTGGCTTTTTGGACATCACTGCAGCAGAGGAATGTGGAGGTAAACGTCCAGGTTCCCCACTTAGTTTCCATTAACAGCTGGAATGGAGGGTAGGAGTTCCAGCTCCCTACACGGTCTCCACAGACACTGCAGGGCGGGTATCCTCATTATTGCTGAGTGACGGTGAAAGTCCTCACTCTCCACTAACCTCCTCCAACACCACCCCAGAAGGGAGAGGATGGGTTGCCTCTTACTGCTGGCTTGAGTGGATGTCCAAATCTTGCCATGGTCTCCTCTTACACAGCAGGGTTAGGGGAAGAAGGGATGAGAGTACCAACTCCTTACTTGGCCTTCACCACACTAGCATGGATGTTGGGCACCTGATTAAAGACTTGCAAGCTATATAGACTGGGTTCCTCATTCAGCTTTGCTGGCATGTGTGCAAGTAGGGCCACATTTTTTCTGTGTTGCTTGGATTACAGCAGTTATTGTGTAAAGTTTTCTGTTTGCTAAAGAAAGCAGCCTTTCTTTCTTTCTTTCTTTTCTATTTATTTCTTCCTTTTTTGTCTGTACTCATTGGAATTTCTGGCTACCAGCTTCTTCAGCTCCAAGTCTGGGACACAGGAAGTGAAAAGAAAACTCAGGGAACTCACTACCATGTCATTCCTCAAGTCCTAAGTTCCCTAACTGGTCTGCCTCTTCTCTCCAACTCTCAAAGTCTTATTATTATTTTTTAAAAATATGTCCTGTTCAGGGATTTCAGTGGTACTTAAGAAGAAGAATGGGGGGGCACCTGGGTGGCTCAGTGGGTTAAGCCACTGCCTTTGGCTCAGGTCATGATCTTGGGGTCCTGGGATCAAGTCCTGCATCAGGCTTTCTGCTTGGCGGGGAGCCTGCTTCCCTCTCTCTCTCTCTCTCTGCCTGCCTCTCTGTCTACTTGTGATCCCTCTCTGTCAAATAAATAAATAAAATCTTTAAAAAAAAAAAAAGAAGAAGAGGGAAAAGTATGTCTACTCCATCTTCAGAAGTGGAAGTCCTGCCTAACACTCTTATTTAAAGTCAGTAAATTTTTACTTAAGGAATTTTACGTGATTCCTTCCACTGCTAATCATTGCGGTTCCTCCATAGTCAGAATCATAATTGTCAAAATATCCCTTTTAAAAAGAACTTCTGTTTAATCCACAGTTGTCACTGTCAGTCCAGAGTTCTTTTAGTTGGGCTTCCTTGATCTCCACTTGGATATGGACCTACTTCAGAAATTCCTCACCTGTAATCTTTGGGATCCAATTTCTTTACTTTAGGGCCATATCCTTTAGAAAGTTCTTTAGAAAGTTCTAGGACTTTCTAAAAGTGCACATCTGACCATATGAGACACTGGTTAAAATCCTTCAATGGCTTCCCATCACTAAGGATAGGGACCAAAACTTTTTGCGTGTGTCCACTGAACAATTCTGCATGACCTGGTCCCCTACCACTGGTATATATTTATTAAGCAAGTTGGGAAGTGGAAAACCCTGATATGCAATGTTAGCCAATTTCTATGGTGTAAATAATACTATAACAGCCGATTTCAAGTTACCAAGATGACATTGCTAAATACAGAATAAGAGAAGAGACACAAACAAATGATTCTTGCACATCATTGCAGACTCATTTATATCATTCTTTCTTTATACTCCAGCCACTCCAGACTTCTCTATGGATGCATTGTGCCTTCTCCAGCTTTGAGTCCCTTCTGCACAGTGTTCCCTCTTCCTGGAATGCCACCTTCTTCCATATCACTCAGTGTGTGTGTGTGTGTTGGAGCCAGCTTACATCAACCTACAGGAACAATTTTCAGAAATTTTGCAATCTGGCTGTTCACACTACAAATCAGGGGTTTCTTGCTTATTTGTTTGTTTGTTTTAGAACTGGTTTTTAAACATTTACCAGCATCCCTCTGCCTCTGCTTTTTGTCTGGCTCACCCTTCCATCTCAAACCATTTCCTCCAAGAAGACCTCCCCACTATCCCCACCCGCCACAGACCTGCTTTCTGTTTCAAAGTACCCCAAACTTCCCCTTTCCTAAAATTCATTGGAATCATCAATAAGTGACTTGCCTCTCTGCTAGTATGCCATAAGGGCAATGATAAAAAGAGCCTTTTGTAAGTACTTGAAATATCAGATGCCTTTTTATCTAGATTAGCATGGTACAGTTGACACACAGCAGGTCCTGTAGATATTTTAGAAACTGCTGAATGAATAGATGGATGAAAAAATAGAACTAAAGTAAAATTACAACCTATTGCATTGTAAACTGAGTGAAATTATGAAGAAAGATAGGAATCTGTATTCCTATCTTTTGTATTTTCATGTATCCATGAAAAGTTCTCTTGGGTTTATGCAGTAGAGTCTAGCATACAGAATGTCATGGCCAATCACCATGGCAAGGCAAATCTCCAAAGGAGAGATCAGTACATGAAGTTTTCATAGCTTAATGCAACTGCCCCTAAGATCATACATCTCCCCACCATAGATCTATATAGAAATTGTTGCCGCTTCCTCTCCTGTATCCCTACAATGCCTTCTTCACAAAGTTTAAAAACTTCAAGATTTTGTCAATTAGTCCCTTCCTCTAATTTAAACCCTCCAGCTACCTTCCCATAATATCTGCAAATCCCTACCTGCTCTGATCTGGCCTCTGCTTGTCTGTTTGATATCTTACCACACTCTCTTTGCTCACTAAGCTTCAAATTTATTCATTCAACACCTACTGAGCCCTGCAATGTACCAGGCACTGCAGTGTCACCAATAAACGAAACAACAAAAACTCCCCTCTTGGTGAGGACACACAAAATCAATAAATCTAATAAATAAGTAAATGAAAAACATGTTCGAAGATATGTGTGCCAGTTTTCTAAACAATGAAGAAAATACATTAAATGAATGGGTAACAGATCATGGAGGATCCTTTAGGCCCTTGTAAAGGACTTCAGCCGCAGTGTCACTTCTCATAGAGGCCTTTCCTAATCACCTAATTCTCCCCTCAATTTCATGATCTCATTTTGTCTTCTTCTCCTTCTTCCTCTTCTTTTTTTTTTTTTTTTTAAGATTTTATTTCTATGAGAGAGACAGAGATAATGAGAGAGAGAGAGAGAGCACGAGCGAGAGGGGAAGGAGAGGGAGACGCAAGGCTCTCCACCCAGCAGATGGCCCAACGCAGGACTTGATCCCAGGACTCCAGGATCATGACCTGAGCCCAAGGCAGACACTTGAGCCAGCCAGGCACCCCTCGTTTTGTCTTCTTAATAGCATTTATTGATACCTGAGGGTGTTTTTTTTTCCCCTCAATGTATTTGCTTACTTGTGTATTATTTCCCTACTAGGAATTCTGACTCCTTCATCACCGTGTCTCTCCTATTTATAACAGAACCTTGTACATACTCAATGAATTTAATGAAAGATAAATATGCCCTTAATACCTTAATTTACTATGGGTTTTTAGTATCCTGTAGGGGCCTTTGGGAATGCAATAAATTAGATGACAGAAATCTCAACATGGAATTATTACTCTAACAAAATTTGGGCTAAGAAAAACTTTGTAGGGTTCCTATAATGTTTTAAGGTCTCGGACAATTTTTTTCTCTTTCCAAGTCTGGTTGAAAGTATGGTGGTGTTTTCATGGATTTGTTGTTCCTGTTTATGACTAAGACAAGGAAACAAATCGCAGTTCTTCCGGTTTGGCAATGGAATCAGTACGCTCCCAATTTTTTTTTAAGAGAAAATACGAGATTTCAAATAAACTAATACAAGATTCAAAAGTGATCTAGCCGAGTCATACTTCCGCAAGGTTAGAGATTCACAAGGGGGATCGGATGTAGAAATGGGCGGGTGACATAAAGTCCAGGTGCTTTGGCTGGGAAGGAACGACCAGTAAGAATCAATGGCCAAGCGCCTCACAAGAATCAAGACGTACAGCGACTGCAGATGAGACTACAGGGCAAGGAGCGAAAAGAGGACGGAAATTAGGGGGAAAGGACACCATAGTCAGATGACCAATTGAGGAATAGGAAACGTGTGCTCAAGTATGTGAAGCTGAAGTCGTGTCCCTTAACCAAAGAGCATTCTAGCACGGAATGCTATCTCGGGCGGGCTGGAGATAGCATCTCCCAGGCTCCTAAGCCTCCTCCGCCTATTTCAGGTGTGCAGGTTAAGGCAGGACTGGAGAATGCCTACACAGTTGGGCCCCGGAGAGGACATTCGGGGAGCTCGCGGCTCCCCGTTGTATCCTCAGCATTTCCCGAATCGGAATCAGGAACCAAACGGTGCCTGGGCCCGGCTCTCCCAGGGAGGCTGCACGTCGGGCCTGGCTAGGAAACGGGTCGGGAACCTGCGAAACTGTGGGGGTCTCCCGTTTCGCGATCAGGAGTCGCGGCACCCGCCTTTGCAGCTTCCCCGGCGAAACGCGCTGCTTTAGACCCGCCGGCAGTGCGGCGGCTGGGGAAGGCGGGGCGGGGCGGGGCCGGCACTGCAGGTCGCGGCCGAGGCGGAGGAAGCAGCCGCCGCCCCAGCAGAGGGAGAGCGGCCGGGGGCTTCCCGGGGGAGGAGGCGAGAGGGAGTCTTTCGAGCGTTTCCACCCGGCTCGATCACGTCGGCTGGGCCCCGCCCGGCCCCGCCCCGGCCACCGCCTCTTCCCCGGCCGACGCCAGGGCCCGGAGGTGGGGGGGCGGGGAGGGAGGGACCTGCACCAGCGCCTTTAAGAGGCGTGGCTACGTGCTCCGCCCCCCACCTGCCCCTCGCGCGCCAGTAGGGGGCGGGGTGCGGGAGGAGGTGCCGGGGAGGGAAGAGGAGGGAGGTGTGCGCTGGTGCGCAGGCGCAGTGGCAGGACGACAGACCGTGTGTTTCCAAAATGGCGGCAGCGATGGATGTGGATACCCCGAGCGGCACCAACAGCGGCGCGGGCAAGAAGCGCTTTGAAGTGAAAAAGGTTGGGTCTCGCCAGCGCCTTCCTCAGGGAAGGTAGAGAGGCGCGGATCTGGCTGGCAGGCCCGAGGATGACCGAGGCGCGGAGGAAAGGGCTTCATTTCAGGGCGTTCCTGAGACCGGGTACCAGGAAAGGAAGCTAGGGGGCGGGTCTTAGAGTTGATCGGCGTGACTGGGGCCCACTGCCAATGGCAGTATTGGTTTCGCTTGGAGTCTGAGGGGCCAATCACGGAGGCGCTTATTGCGATACGCGGGGTTGCAACTCGTCTGGGAGAGCCAAGCGCCTGAGCTGTCACTGGAGTGGTGGAGGGGTGGGGAGGAGTGGGTGGGGTGGATGGAAGGGGGAGTCGGAACGATGCAGTGGGTGGAGGATGGGGGCAGTGCGGCGAAAGCCGGGACCTGAGTTCCTACCGCATTGGAGGCTTCCGAGGAGCCCGCCTGGTGATCTCCTTGCCCCGCCTCTTCCCGAAGCCCGGGGTCCCACTTATTGAGGGACCCTAATTCGGTCCTCGCCTCATCAAGGCCTCCCTTAGCCCTCTCTCTAGTCCTCGTCCCCGCCGAGTTAAAGTGTCTCCAGTGTAACAACTCTAGGCTCTTCTGAGAGGTCTGTTGGTTTGTCACACAGCCGCCACAGTTCTGTGGTCATATCTAAATCCCTCTGTTTCCCCTCCCCCACAATGATGGAATTTGTTTAAAAAGAAAATGTGAGCCCAAGCCTTGTGTCATTTAGGAAGGGTTGAGTACTGGTGGCGAACGACCTGGTGAAAGTGGGAAAGCAAAAATGTTGAACGTGTCTTTTTGCATGAAATGTCTTAGAGTGGTTTGCCAACAGTGTGGGAGAAAAGTGCCGATTCCCACATAGTATCAAATAAATCTCTTCCAAATGAAGACTCTGAAATAGGGGAAATGTTACTGCTTGAGTATCTGGCTAAACACCGACAATTTTCCCCCTGCTATTGCTTTTTTGGTGTTTCATTGTGGACACTGCATGCTCAGTTACAGGCAGCAGCCATATTGAAGAAAAGAAATAGGGGTTGGTTTTTTTTTTCCTTCAAGTTGAAGCTTTCGGGTGAAAAGTGCTGAAGAAGTTGAACTAGGCTCTAAGAATTGGGTTTGAAAGAGGTGAAGGTTTTGGAAGTAGCACCAGATTAGTGGAGGAAAAGGGAGTTTGGGAATATTTATAATTGCAGAAGCCAGAAGGTTAAATTGCTTAAATGCTGCTTTTAGATAAACACTTAATTGGAATTATCTTAAACTAAATGAGAGTCTGAGCATGTGAAAGTTGAGAACAGCAGTTTATTTGATGGTAGGAACTAACCAAAATTCTGGTGAATTGTAGAGTTTGTTGTGAAATAATCTTGGAAGATTTAAGTCATGACCTTGCTCTGTGTACTCACACACTGGGTAGTTGGTTATCCAGCTTATCCCACGATTACCCATTTTATGATCCAATCATCATCATAGTTCTTCTGTTCCTAGCTTTCACCTCCCGGCTCATTCTTTCAAAGCTGCCTTGAAGAGCAGATACTTTTCTGTGCAGAAATTGAGCTCTTCTGGGGAACCTGTACAGAAATTCAAGTTTGTGCTTATTAAACCTAAAATAGGCACTTAAGAATTATTCCTGATTTTCTTACATTGGTATGGTTGACTAAATTACTGTAAGCTGTGGGAGAAAATAAAGACAGTCCATTAATTTGTGTTCACATATTCAACTGTTTAAAGAACAGGTGAGCACACGTGAGGCCTTCTGTGTCCTCTTATAAAATAAATAAGAGTAATGTAATATCCCCAAACTCTTATGTTTGGTGATCCTTGTGGCCAAAGAGATGATAACTGCAGCTGCAGCATGAAATCCTAGAGTGTGTGCGTGCCTGTTTTACAAGGAGAGTGCATTGTTCCCCCTTTTTCTCTTTGCAGTGGAATGCAGTAGCCCTCTGGGCCTGGGATATTGTGGTTGATAACTGTGCCATCTGCAGGAACCACATTATGGATCTTTGTAAGTAACTGGAGGAGGATGGGAGGAAGTTGAGAAGGTTACAGAGATTGTGGCTATCCTGATGTGACCAAATTTCTTCTTCCCAAGGAGATACACAGCCTAGTCAGAACACTTGGTGTCTTCTGCCTCTAGTCCGCTGGTGTGTTTGAAATAGAGTAGATTTAATGATATCCTGGAGGCACACTCATCTCTCAGAATAAATCTACTCAATCTAAAGATGGCAAGCACACATTTAGAATGAGTTGTGGACACAGAGGCACTGTTGATTATTCCTCTATATTTCCCATCTCATACCCAGACTCAAAGGCAAAAATAGTGAAAGGAAAAAAATAAACTTTGAGCTAAAATATTCCACCAAAGCTAGTTTTTGCTTGGCAAGATTTATAAAGAAAAGAAGCCAACGAAATAAGGAATTTCAGTGTTAGCCCCAAAGTTAAGAGGACATCGCTGCCAACATTGAAATAGACAGCTAATTGCAGTAAAGAAATTTCATTTAACTCTCCTACAGATTCCATCACATGTAGTAGCCAGTACATGGTGGATTTGATAGCGGTTGACAGACTCAGGATCCTTATAGTAATAGGGGCAAGTGTGTTGATCATACCAGTAATAATTGAGGTTACTTTTTAATTCAGGTACTAAAATGGTTTGTTACAGAGATGAGGTATAAGGGGAAGAAATTTCAGCTTTCTAGAGTTGGATTTGTAGACACTTATTTTGAAAATCACTCACTTGCCTCTCCAGCTTCATTTTGCAACACTCTCCCACTCACTCTGATAGTTTTTTTGGCTTTCTTTCCTTTCTTGAGTTGTCCATGCTCTTTTTTAGAGCCTTTTTACATCCTGTTGCCTCGGTGTGCAATATTCTCCCTCTTCTCTCCACTACCTTTGCCTAACCCACTACTGTCTGATCTGAATATGAGCCACAAATGCAAGCACATACATAATTTAAATTTTTCTGGTACCCACATTACAGTAAAAAGAAATAGGTGATTTGCATTTTATTTATCCTGCTATATCCAAGAAAATTTCATTTCAACATGTAAATAATATCTTATTTTTTATTTATTTTTAAGATTTTATTTTATTTATTTGACACAGAGAGGTGCAGTGAGAGAAGGAACACAGGAAGGGGAGTGGGAGAGGGAGAGGCAGGCTCCTCGCCGATTAGGGAGCCCAGTGTGGGGCTCGATCCCAGGACCCTGGGATCATGACCTGAGCCGAAGGCAGACCCTTAATGACTAAGCCACCCAGGCGCCCTGTAAATAATATTTTATTTTATTTTTTTTTAAAGATTTTATTTATTTATTTGACAGAGAGAGATCACAAGTAGACAGAGAGGCAGGCAGAGAGAGAGAGAGAGAAGCAGGCTCCCTGCCGAGCAGAGAGCCCGATGCGGGACTCGATCCCAGGACCCTGAGATCATGACCTGAGCCGAAGGCAGCGGCTTAACCCACTGAGCCACCCAGGCGCCCCGTAAATAATATTTTAAAGTGAAATATTCTACATTTTCTTTTTGGTAGTAAGTCTTTGAAGCGTATTTTATGCTTACAGCACCTCTTAATTCAGACTAGCCGCATTTCAAGTGTCCAGTAGGTATATGAGGCTAGTGGTGACTTTATGGAGCAGTGTGGAACTAACCCATAGTTGGTCTTTAGAGCTCATCTTGAACTAGCTCAGAGATGTGTTCCCTGCCCATACTTAACATGCACACAGGCTGTGACAGTTTTGTTAAACATTCCCAAGACCTCCCATGGTTGCCTTTGTAGTATTTAATTTAGTTCGTTCTCTATCATATGTATGTTATTTACTGCTCTCTTCCCAGCATCTAGCATTGTGTCCAGTATGTAATAGGTTCTCACTAAACACTTGCTCAATGAATAATAAAATTACAAGATAAGGGAATAGTCCGATCATTGCAACTTGGAAAGCACCAATCAAATATGTGTTGGTAGTTTGCTGTCCGTGGTTTGAATTTTGACCCTGTTTACCTTTTCACACGACAGTCAAAGCCGACAGCAGCTACCATCGTGTTTAGTATAGATAGAAGGAATCCATCACGGAGAAACATATGCCCAGTTTTAAATGTGTTTGGGTGGGGTTCTGATTACATGCGTGCCAATTTTGTTGCTGTGCATTTTCATAAGGAGTTGTGCCCAAAGCAAATTTTATTTTCTTGGGTCTCTCTTCTGTAAATAGTTAATGATTCCAAATAACCCTGGTTTGGGTTTTTTAAGTTATTTAAGTCATTTTGTGTCTCTCTGGATTCAAGAGAATATACTTCTTGGGAGGACCACAACAAACAAAGGCCATTGATACTTTATCTTAGTTGAACGCTTGAGGGATCAATGTAGGTCTTCAGTTAGATACCTACCTACTTTATCATATATTTTAAATGTTAGATGAAGTAGAATATTGATTTTTTTTTTTTTTTTTTTTAAGTAAGCCCCGGTGTGGGGCTTGAACTCACAACCCTGAGATCAGGAGCCTCATGCTCTACAGACTGAGCTAGCCAGGCGCCCCAGAATATTGAAATCTTACAACAAAAAATTATGAAAGTATTTTCAAATCATGTCTTTTCAAAATTTTAATTGAGAAGTTTGTTCTTTTTTTAAAAAATTATTTCTTAAGGTTTTATTTTATTTTTAAAGATTTTATTTATTTATTTGACAGAGATATCACAAGTGGGCAGAGAGGCCGGTAGAGAGGGGGGGAAGCAGACTCCCTGCTGAGCAGAAAGCTTGATGTGGGGATCCATCCCAGGATCCTGAGACCATGACCTGAGCCAAAGGCAGAGGCTTAACCCACTGAGCCACCCAGGCATCCCTTAAGGTTTTATTTTAATTCTAGTTAACATGCATCATTATATTAGTTTCAGGCATACAATATAGTAGTGACTAACTCTTCCGTACATTACTGGGTGCTCATCATGACAAATGCATTCCTTAATCTCCATCACCTATTTAACCCATCTCCTCATCCTCCTTCCCTCTGATAACCATCAAATTGTTCTCTATAATTAAGAGTCTGTTTTCACATCTTGTCTTTTATTCATTCAATGAATGCTCACATCCTGGGCATTTTGCTAGGCACCAGTATAAAACAGTGACTGAGATCAAATTTTTACCCTTAAGAAATACACCTTTTTGTTTATCACAGACACTATAGAGAAGTCTGGTTGCCACAACTGGGCTTGCCTTCTGTTAAAAAAATAAATGGATTATGATTCCTGTAAAAAGACTTTTTGTCAAAGCTGAAAATAAGAATCTTGATTTAGCAATGGCCATTTTCTAATAAATTCTGGCCTGGCATTAAATGAATAATTATGTACATAGCCCTAAATAAGTATCAGTGATCATGGCTGTGCCCAAGTTGGACTCTTCTGTAAAGCTTTCTTGGTCTGAAGACATCCTCTTTTGAGTAAAAATTAACACTACATGCCCTCTTCTAGCTTCGTATTTATTGTATATTGCCCCATTTCTTTGTTGTTGTTAAGAGTTGCTGAAACACATAATCTAGGTTTTCTCCATTATCTCAGGTAGTCTTGTTCCAGATGAAGAGGGCATCCAGAAGGGTGTAGACCCACCCTTTGCCCATGAGAAGTTAGCCTCTTCCTAAACCACAGGTCCATCCCTGTTTTGAAAGTGTGAAATCCATCAGCTTCCAAGGTGAAACCATTGCTTCCTTAGCAGACCTTTGGTGGTAATGCTCAATGATTTTTTTTTTTTAAGATTTTTAGTTTATTTATTTGATAGAGATCACAAGTAGTCAGAGAGGTAGGCAGAGGGGGAGGGGGAAGCAAGCTCCCTGCGGAGCAGAGAGCCCGATGCGGGGCTCGATCCCAGGACCCTGAGATCATGACCTGAGCCGAAGGCAGAGGCTTAACCCGCTGAGCCATCCAGGCGCCCTGGTAATGCTCTTATATTGAAGTTTAAAAGTCCCCAGACTATGTATTGAATGCACTAAGCCTCTGCCTTTGCAGGGGCATGACAGGAACCCATTATGTGCTGCTTGTTTTGGCTGCTCTAGGTTGACAGTGAGTAGTTAACTTCCCCTTTTTAAATGAACAACTCAACTCCTGTCTGCACCAACAGCTCAAGAATTTTTTTTTTTTTAAGATTTTATTTATTAGAGAGAGAGAGCACAAGTAAGGGAAGCAGCAGGCAGAGGGAGAGAAAGAGGGAGAAGGAGGTTTCCCACTAAGCAGGAGCCTCATATGGGGCTCGATCCCAGGACGCTGGGATCATGACCTGACCTGAAGGCAGACGCTCAACCGACTGAGCCACCCAGGCGCCCCTCAAGAACATTTTCTATTTGAAAACATTTTACACTCATATTTAATAATTTTTCATGCCATATCCTTTCTTTCATGGCTTTGTAGATTGCATTCCTATCCCTCCTATATATTTTTGTTCTTTGTTAGGAATTACCAGGTAAAGAATGCATATGTATTTGGCCTCCATTGTCTCTGTTGGTAGAAGTGGTTTTGTTTGCTTATTCAGGTACTGAGAGCCTACTTTGCACTTGGCACAGAAAGAGTCCCTTAAAAATACCTTGACCTAGAAAAATTTAAACATGATCATGTACCTTGAAACAGTCGTTATTTATTTCAGTCATAATTATGTCTCTTAATTAACTAATTTCATGATATATTGTACTCATCTGAGAGAATCCAACTTGAAGGTCATCAGATTTTATTTTCTCTACTTTTGAAAATGGTAGTGCAGTCACAGCTCCAGTAAATCCTTGCATATACTGCGTAGACTCTGGACTCTCCACTCCTATCAGAAGGAGAACCCAGTTACTCTCTTTGTAGTGTGGATCTGGTAGCAAAAGGAAGTTTTGTGATTTCAGATCCTTTGCCTTTCATAGTTTTGAAGGATGGAAAAAACCCTTATGGTGTATAATTTCCCCCAAGACCAGACAGACCCATTCAAGTCTCAGCACTATTTGCCTACAGTCTTTCTGTTTCTCACCTATGGAAGTTTGAAGTAATTGTCTATTTTTAGTCTTTCCCGAAACTTTTTATTCTTCAAATGAGAGACTCCATTTAGTTACCACCTTCAGAGAAAGCAAATTAGACATTAGTAATTCTTGTTCCTTGAAGATTCATCCCAGTAGAGCTTTACTCATCAGTTCTTGACCTCAGTCAGATTTGTATTCTATTTTAATTCCTCTCTTCCCCCTCTGTGAAATTGATATTTGGAGATATTTGCCATAATGTGCTCTGTTCACAAGACAGCATCACCTTGGGTAGTACACATCACCAGTTAGTGGGCCCCAAGTCTCTAGCCCATTGGCTGAACAGATTGGCTTTGTTTGATGGTGTTTTAAAGATGTTTGAGTTTTGGTGCTTTCACACAGAGCATGCGCTCCAGTGTGCCACAGGCCTCTTCACCTCTTTTATTTTGCTTCTGTCCCAGTTCTTGTGTGTGTGCCTGACCCCTCGAGGGGCTGGAGCTTGTTACCCAGCGAGGCCATACTGTTGGAAGGACCTCAGAGGCAGCATTTGCCCAAAACAGGGAGAAGATGCCACTTCTCAGAACAGTAAGAGTTACGAGGTAGCTTTAAGAATTTACTAGATGAACCAAACTAGGAGAAATCACTTTGGTTTGGACAGGTCAGGTTATGTTCAGAACTAAAAATGTGCCTTTTCCTTCATCACTCTGTGACCAAGGAGAGGAAATCGTTGCAAAGCAAATGGATAAGTCACATCTCTGCCTTCTGCGCGTCTCCCCTTCCTACACTCATAGAAAAACAATGGTGACTAATGAACCACTTGAGATTTTGTCCAGGTTTGCATCACCCTCACCCCTACCTCGCCCAAATCCTGTGCTTGTGACACTACGCAGGTGGGGCGCGGGAGGTCCAGTGATCTTGTTGCTCTTGTTCCCACAGGCATAGAATGTCAAGCTAACCAGGCGTCCGCTACTTCTGAAGAGTGCACTGTTGCATGGGGAGTCTGTAACGTAAGGAAACATCTTTCCCTATCAGCATGGCTTGTAAACATATTACCACTTTTCCTGCTTTGCCAGTCTTGAAAATAACTAGGAAAAAAAATGACTAGCCCACCTTTCTCCCAAAAGGTATACAAATAGTAAAAAAGATTTTAAATCTTTGTACTGTTCACCTGTGATAGGTTAAAAATTACTAGTTATTAAACGGGCACCATTTTGTCTTAATTATAAAGAGGAACGACTTTTGTTAGCAACACTTTGGGGATTCATCTTTGGGAATTGCCTGCAAGGCCTGTGGCAGTCTTTGGAATATTCCCCTATTGGTGGACATCTTTACTTTCTTAACAGATCTTTTTTTAGGGCTATATATGCCTTGTTGAACTAAGTTTGGCAAATAAATTGAGTGTTCAAGGGCCCGTGTCTGTGTGTTCTAAAGTGTGGCAAACGTACTAAGTTAGGATTTTTTTTTAACGCGGCTCATGCCAGAAATGTTTTGTCCAGCATCGTTGGACTGAATGTACAGCCTTCCCCGGCGTGACAGCTGTGAAGGATAACAACATCAAATATGTTATTTCTAGCATGTGTTAAAAATTCGTCTCTATAGCCATATAGTCCCAGTTACAGGAGCTAAAATTGTCCTGTCCTCCTGTGCCAAGGGGAAAGAGGACCCGCAGGCCCCAGCATAGCCCAGGCCTAAGAGGCTCTGGAGTCAGACCATCATTCCCTGTCTTTGACTTACTTGCTAAGTGACTTCAGACGAGGTGTTTGACATCCCTAACCCTGGCTTCCCTCATGTAGACTGCACAGAGTTATAATCAGGATGAAACGATTTTATCCTAGCACATAGGAGACATAAGTGTTTGTTTGTTAAATATAAATAAGTAACAACTTTGGGGGGGCGTTGGTTACTGAGCACATATCAGTACTTTGGCCCAGCAGGCTGAGGCTCTGTCCTACCCGAGCCTGTCCCACACCTTCTTATTCTGTCAAGGCCCTTTGAGCGGTTTCCCAGTAGCCTGTATTGGCCCAGCCGGTTGGCCCAGTTGGATTTGTTGTTTATGGGGATAAAGAAATAAAATATATCGGGCTCTTTGCCCTGCCTGACATTCAGGCATAAACCAAGGGCCATGTTATCTTTTGGTGGAGGGCAAAGGAAGTGAACTTCCCCTAAGTTTGGCTAAGGCGAGACTAGCTCAGGGAGCCTGCCATAAAGAGGAGCTGGCCTGGGGTGGCAGAAGCCCTTGGACCAGCGCCGGCTTCTAGTTCTGGGTCTTCTCGCCCGCCCCATGAGTTAGGCAAGTCCCTTGATTTGTCGGAGTCTCAGTTTCCCGTCTGCAAAAGGAAGGTAATGATACCTGTCGTGATTCCTCACCAGGCTTGCTCTGAGGCTCCGGTTAGGTGATAGGGGTCCGCATCCTCTGTGAGCTGTAAGCACTAGGCAGTGTACTTGAGACTGCGGGTACACCCCTCAGCCGACCGCCATTTATTAACAGGCGGAAAGTTGGGACCAGGCTGGTGCAGGGATGCTGGCACCTGCTCTGCATCCTTACTTGCAGCTCCCCTTTCCCTCCATCTTCCGAGGTAGTTGGGGTGTATAAGGACCCTGTACTGCTGCAAGGGGCCTAATGGGGGTGGGAGGCAGTGGGGAAAGGCGTCCTGAATACCCTTAGGTGAGCCTGTCCCTACTACCTGGTGATTGAGAAAAAAAAGGCCTCACCTTCTGCTTTCTAGAAGTTTTTGGGTTTTTTTCTCTCTTTCACAGTGAGTTATGTGAGAGTCAACGAGTTGCACGAAATCGATCTAAAGCTCTCACCCTGGGCGAGTACCTGTCCTATGGACCATCCACAGTGTCCTAGCTGTGGATTCCACTCTCGATTACCAGATTCTGTCTCTGTCTTTATCAAGACAGTGCCCATGATGGTAATCCTCTCAGTGACTCTTCTCGAAGGTCCCCGCATGTTTTGGTAGGGCCTGCTGACCAGACTTTGAGTCTGTTATTAAATCAGGCTTGCAGAACTTTCATTATTCTGCTGGGCAGCCAGCATTTCTCCCCTGTCCCCACCTGAGCCCCACCCCTCTCAGATACGATGAGGGGAGCGCTTGTAGCTGCTGTCTTAATTCTCTGCTCCCGTGAGCAGTCGGGAGAGTAAATGTCTGTTGCAGAGGTATTGTGATTAGCACCTGTGTGTCATTCACTCACACCAAAAAACTCCCACAGATTTTCCTTTTGCCCAAATCTGAAAGCCATCTCCTAGCTCCCCTTGGTTACCAGCCTTCTTGGTACTCTGCCATTTTATTTCTTGCCTAGATCATGAAATAAGTCGTTTGATCATCTTTTCTGCTGCTTGTGTGCGGTTTGTACATCGTGATGCTTCCTTTTCCCCTTGTTTTTTTAGTCTTTTTTAGTCTTTTTAAGTTTTTTAAGTTTTTTAGTCTTTTTAAGAGAAAGTGCCTCACCCCTTTAGGCTTACCAGGTACTGAGCTGTTTTAATATCGGTACACCTTTGAACAAATCTGGAAGGAAGGTCTTTTGAACAGAGCTGAGCTGGGTGCGGGGAGATTGGGGAAGTGCCCGTCTCAGCGTTGGCAGGAGAAGTCACTGCTCCCGGGGTTCCCGTTCTCCAAGGTGGGGGAGGCGCAGCTGGGGACCAAGAATGGGGAAGTTTGAAATCTGCCTGTGATCAAGGGCCTCCTGGCATGTGTCCAAGGAAAGTACAGGAAAGTAGAAGCCTCCCCTTACAGGCCCAAGAGGACCAGGAAGCCACATTCCATCTTCCCTTAAGGGAAGGGGAGAGAACGCACTGCTATAGCATATATGATGCTTCCTGAATAATTCCTTCTCGTAGTGGTTACATTTCTAACCGGTATTTCAGTGGGAGTGTCCTGTACCTGACTAAGGCGTGAGGGGTTGTTGACCTTTTGCCTCTCATTGTTTGTTGTACCTGACTAAGGCGTGAGGGGTTGTTGACCTTTTGCCTCTCATTGTTTGTTGTCTCCCCTTGTTCGCTGGTCCCGTGTGTCACCAGGCTGCCGCCCTTGAGACAGACCGTCAGTAGATGGCTGAGGAATGATCTTTAATAAAATGTGTCTTTTCTTCCAGCATGCTTTTCACTTCCACTGCATCTCTCGCTGGCTCAAAACACGGCAGGTGTGTCCGTTGGACAACAGAGAGTGGGAATTCCAAAAGTAGGTGTCTGACTGTTCTGACGTTGTAAGACTGGGCTCTGTGGGCCGTGCCATCCCTGAGTCACCTCAAGCTGGAGAGTGCAGAGTCTGAGAAGATGGGAGACAGGGAGCATACCTTGTTTTACAAACCAACTTTTAATTAGTAAAACAAGCGCTCATCTGTGAGTCCCACCTCTCAGGGTCTGTGAAAGTAGAAAATACGAGAATCTGCAAACTATTCATTATTTCCAGAATCATATCCATAATAAGGCTCCAGGGGCTAACCAAGGTCAGGTATCTTTGCTTGGGGTTGAATTATATCTACCTATTCTGCTTCATGGTTCCATCTCATGCTGATTAACTCTGATATGGCATTTGTGGCTATCTCAACTAAATTACTAGTATTATATAAATAAAACGTGACATGGTAAATTTTTTAAAAATTCAGATAGTCAAGAGGGCATACCCAAAAAATTTAGTGTCCCACCGTAGTCTCCTGATCTCAGCCCCAGAGGTGACCACAAGTTCTTAGTACCTCCTGACTAGCTCTGGAACATGCTTGCATGCACATGGGTACATATGTGTATGTAATTTTAACATAAATATGAACATCCAACATAGTAATTCACCTTGCTTTTTCATTTCATATATTTTGGAGTTTTTTCATATATATCCGAGTACCTCCTTTCTGATAGTTGAAGTAGTTTTTATGTTGATACACCATAATTTATTTAATTGATAGATTTTAGGTTTCAGATTTTTCACTTAAAAATAGTGTATAAAGATGACCATCCCTATAAATGAATCTTTGTGAATATGTGCAGGTGTATTTGTAGCAGTAGTTCCTAAAGGAGGAATTTCTGAGTGAAGAGTATGTACCTTTTTATTTTTGATTAAAGTCAGATTTTCCTTTCCCTAGAATATATTATAATTTACACTCCCTCTAAACAGTGCAGCAGAAGGCCCCTTTCTCCATTTCCTGCTAAGGCTCTGTTACCAAACTTCTCCATCTCAGCTGCTTCGATAGTTGAAAACTAGTATCCAGCTGCGTTTTTTGAATTTTGAGTAAGATTGGCTACTTTTCATATGTTTTTATGCTTCTTTCCCTGTGAAATGCTATGTTTTGTTGCTGTTGAATTATTCACCATTTGCTTTATCAAATTTTTTATGAGAAGGGGGTTTTATTTAAATATGAGTTTTGGTTAATAAGATACAATGAAGTTTAAAAAACAAAAGATGGAGTTCTTTGTTAAATGTTGAAAAATCCCTTACTGGTACAGTTACTTTGCTTTTACACTTGGTTATTTATTTTTTAAAGAATTTTGGAAGTCTTACTGACTGCATGTTCATTTCTTAAGAAACCTGCCAAATACTCAGTGTTTTAACTTTTAACTACCATGGTGCTTCCTTCAGCAAAATGTGTGCTACCTAACGTGTAAGATATGAAAACGCGGGAGACAGCCCTTCCCCATCCTTGGGAGCTCGAGTTCTGAGTAGAACCATGAAGTCACACATATCAAGGCAAAAACACTTTTCTGCATTCTCAGGAGGCCTTTGTAATTGGCTCTGCCCTGAAGCAGGCTCCAGGTTCTGTTTTGGACCCAAATTGTGCCATGTTGCCCATTAAATATTCCCTGGACTGAGCCTAGGAAGTGGAGGGTATGAAGAATCCCTCGTGTTGGGCTTTGACACCACCACCGTGTCCCACCAGTGGCCTTGTCAGGCAGGGCTCGACAACGCATTGGGAAAACAGATTCCGAAGGAACAAATCATGGGCATCCTTTAATCTGATAGACAACGTCTGGCTTTCTCTCCAGTATACTTACAAACGCTGGGGCTCTACTCTGTGTGGAATTTGGCACAACTTTTTTGGTAGACAATATTCAAGTAGATTTCATATGAGAAGTGTTTAAAACATCTAGTAGTCCTTTGGGATGATTGACAGCATGACCCAGAGTTCAAGTGATTGACAGCATGACCCAGAGTTCAAGTGCCCTGGTTTCCACCCATTGTTAAATGTATTATGTTCTGTGTTGTACTTTGTTATATAAGTATTTTACTCAGAGGATAACGGTCCATAACTGGACAGAAGACTGAGTAAAATAATAGAAGGATATTTGTTCAAGAAGCCCATTTATATGTGAAAGAACTTCCCAGCCTTGTTTGTTTTTATATTCTTATTAGAGCCAAATTTTGGCTTTTGGGGAAGTGAGAAACCACCTGAAATCCATACATTTCTCTACAGTTCTCTTTCTTAGTGCTGAATGGAATCAGGGTGGAAATTGGACCTGGTGATAGATTTTGAAATTCAGGCCTTTTAGTGACTATTCCTGTGTTTGTCTGAGTAGCAGATCTGAGTGAAAACAAGCTGCAGTGGGAGGGGGAGGCTGAGTGCTCAGAGGGTGTCTGAGCCGCGGACTGGAGCCACCAGAGCAGTTCCCCTTCGCAGCCCCTGGTTCTTACTTTTCCCTCTCGCCTCCCAATACTGCTCACATCTGTCCCCTAACTGGAAGGAGGGTCAGGTGGGTGTAGTTGAGGCCCATGGAGGGACTCCCACCAAGAAGAAGGTAGAAGGTAAAATGTGAAGGGTAAAATAAAAGGGGCAAAACCTCGTGTCAACCCAATCTGGGAGCACACTTGCACTCACATGTTTTAAGTTTTCCTTACATTTGCTCCTGTGTTCTGGCAGGTTCTGTAGTCTCAAGCAGGAAATTACTAAGAAATTAATAAAATAATGTACTTTGTCTTTCAGGTACGGGCACTAGAGAGAGAATTCTTCCATCGAGCTCAACTGTTCTGTTGTTCATTTAATGACTTGCCCTCCTGTTACTTAATTATAAATTAGATAGAACCGTGTCTTTTCTGCTTTGTCTTTTTAGTTTGCTATTCCCGCAGCCATATTGTATTCTGTGTCAAATAAAATCCAGTTGGATTCTAGAACAGATGCTGTCTCTTGTGTATGTGAAAAAGTGAACATAGATAAAGGATCCCCACTTCCTAGGTTGGAAGGCTTTCTTTCGAAAGTGAGATGTTTGTTCATTAGAGCAGAGTTGTCCTGTGAGCACATCGCTTGGTCACGAGGAATCCTGGTCCACAGCCTGGTCATCAATGGCGGTCTCAGGCAAGTCGTCTCTGCTCCGCCCTTTCCCCTGTAGAACGGCTCTTAAGAACTAAATGGCATCATATGTGCACAGAAAGAAGCTTTGTAAACTGTAAAACCACTATACGAATGTTAACCTTGACCGTGTATGACATGTTGCTTTCTCTTCTTGGTTTAGAAAAATTAACCTGAAAAAAATCTAATATGTAATTTTGGCTGGCAAAAGAAGAATTTATGAACTCAAGTTGAAAATTGGTGTATTAAAGTGTCCACTTAAAATGGAATTAAAAAGAATTCAAATTGCCTTTACCACCACAATCTTTTGCAGTTTGTTTAAAATGTCTTGGCCATGGGGGTGCCTGGCTGGCTCAGTCCGTAGAGCATGCGACTCTTGATCTTGGGGTCATGAGTTCAAGCCCCACATTGGGTATAAAGATTACTTTAAAAAATAAATAAAAAGTCTTGGCCATGGAAGAACTTGCCAGTTCTAAAACTAACTCAGTGGTGATATAGTCTTTAACTGAAAAACAGTCTAGTTTACTGTAGTGGTTCTCAAACTATGGTCGAAGGACTCCTGTGGGCTCCTGGAACCCTATCAGAAGATTCACGAAGTTCCTGTTCCACTATATGTCTGCATGAGGCCAGCTTTTCCTTCTGTCCTTCAACCAAAGCAATGCACTGAATGAAGAAGCAGGCAGGAGAAGCCAGCTGTCTTCTATTAGATGTGAAAGGTTTGCAAAAATGTAAAACAGTGCCACTCTTTAATTCTTTTGTTTTGAAGAATAGTGGCTTTTAATAAAAATATTTATGTTAACATGATGGGTTTTGTTCTTTTTAAGTCTTTTAAATTTCTTGGTTTTGATTTCCATCATATATATATATATAGAAAGAGAGAGATTTATAGATGTTCACCCACAAAGACAAAAATTCTTTGAGGCCTTCAGTTTTTAAGATCATAAAGGGATCCTGATAGTAGACAATTTAAGAATCTATATCTTAGTGATTAAGAACTTTTTGAACTTGGGGCACCTGGGTGGCTCAGTCATTTAAGCAACTATCTTTGGCTCAGGTCATGATCCCAGAGTCCTCAGATCGAGTCCCACATCGGGCTCCCAGCTCCATGGGGAGTCTGCTTCTCCCTCTGACCTTCCCTCTCATGCTTTATCTCACTCTGTCTCTCTGTATCTCAAATAAATAAATAAAATCTTAAAAAAAAAAAAGAACTTTGAACTTGGGACACTTGGGTGGCTCAGCAGGTTAAGCATGTGCTCTAGGCTCAGGTCATGATCCCAGGGTCCTGCGTTCGAGTCCCACATCGGAGTCCCAGCTGAGTGGGAAGACTGCTTCTCCTGCCTACCGCTCCACCTGGTTTGTGCAGTCTCTCTCTGACAAATAAAATCTTAAAAGAAAAAAACAAACTTAGAACTCTTAATAAACCTGAATCAAACCCACCTTCCTGGGGCGCCTGGGAGCCTCAGCTGGTTAAGTGTCCAACTCCTGACTTCACTCAGGTGGTGATCTCAGAGTCATATGATCAGACCCCAGGCTCTGTCTGCTTGGGATCCTCTCCCTCTGCCCCTCCTGCCACTCGTGCTCTCTCTCTAAATAAATAAAAACTTTTAAAAAAGATTTTTTCCTGGGGCGCCTGGGTGGCTCAGTGGGTTAAGGTCCCTGCCTTCGGCTCAGGTCATGGTCCCAGAGTCCTGGGATGGAACCCCGCATCGGGCTCTCTGCTCGGCGGGGAGCCTGCTTCCTCCTCTCTCTGCCTGCCTCTCTGCCTACTTGTGATCTCCGTCTGTCAAATAAATAAAATCTTAAAAAAAAAAAAAAAAAAGATTTTTTTCCTTCAGCTATATGCCAGGCATACAGCAAGGACTCGTCTGGAGAAAGCTGCTACGGTTGCTGTTAATTTAGGGTTACCACCCTTGACAGAAATACCCTTTGAAGCGGTCATCCGGACCGCATGAGTACTTAAGGTAGGGAACGCACAGATTTTCAGATAGATGACATGACGCATTTGGCGAGTTCTGCTTGAGTATTAATCAGTCCTATTGCTTGCAGAGCACCCAGCTTCTGCTGAGGTAAGGGGCGGGTGTGGGGCTCTGTAATGTAATCAGAGAAAGGGCTAGGGAAGCATTGGGACGGAAGAAGGAATGGAACCAGGGAGTCGCTGCTGGGATTCCCCGCTACTCTCACTAGCCTCATAAGGCAGGAAAACGATGCCGCCACGTCTTCTCCCCCAGGGGCTACGCGAGAGACATTAAGTTCTGATTCCCCAAATCCCATAGCTAGGCCAGTCTGTAGATTCCTGTGGAACACAGTGACTGCCTTGAGAGCTCCTCTGGCATGGAGGGTAATAGTTCCCAGAAGAATGGGAGGGATGTGGGACAGACAACACAAGATGGGTCTACTTCGAGAGGCTAGGGAGTTTTCCCCTAACATTGAGCACAAACATCTTGTAACGTTTATATCCAGTTAGTCTTGTGGCGCCTTATGAAACTGGTGGACATGAATCTCCCTCGAGACATCAGTGAAATTATTTACTGAGTGCCTGCTGGGTGCTAACCTAGGGGACACAGCTGAGTCAGCAAGAATCTCTTCCCGCTAAGAGCTCACAGTCCAGTAGGAGATTGCTGAGAAAATGAATGAATATGGAAGTTCATTCTGGAGAGCTTGACAGGGCTCAGATCTGGGCTTGATCTTGAAGTGCCCATTCTCTCTTGGTTTTCCTTCTGTCAACTCCTTTGCATTGTAGGGGCTCCCCTTCTTCCATCGGCCCTGAAGTTTCTATTCCCAGGGTTCTGCTCTGTCTGGGAGATGCCATCCTCTCCCATAGTCACGATCGCATGCTGGACCCTCCGGTAGGCTCCCAAGAGCGGATTGTGCGCATCTCTCCCCAAACCCGCTTTCAATAATCTTGCTTTGGCAGGTTGAAATTGGCCAGAGTGGGTATATTTCACACCACAGAATTTGGGAAATGCTACAAATCAGAGCTTCCTTTCCTTGGACAGCTTCTTACCATCATCAGATAACCGTATCCAAATGTGTCCATTGTCTATGCCCGGCTATGTGTCTTGTAGACACTTCAAACTCAGGGTGTCAACCACGACCGACCTATCATTTCCCCAAACTCCCCCTCCTGGATGACCGAGCCTGGTTCATAGCAGTGTCACTCATTGAATTCCTGAAGCCACAGGCATTAAGACAGCATTTTAGATACCCTCCTCTCCTTTGCCCCTGCATCTAATCACGAAATGCTATTCACTCTACCACTATACTCTCATGAAAATCTGTACCCTCTTCTCCATTCCCACTGCCATGGACGGAGCCAGGCCCTCTTCGTTTTTCTCTAAAATAATTGCAATCCCCTCTGATTGGTCACACTGCCATTAGTCTCTTGGCCACAACCTGAAGCGAGTCTTTAATTTAGTCTGATGTCCCTTCCAGGGGTTGAGAAATTCCCCACGTGGAAGGCAGCAGAGTTCATTTCCCATCACAGAACATGCCTAATCCTGGCTCCTCCAACTTCCTTGCAGCTGGAACCAGAGAGATTACCTAACCCCCACTGGAGACACTCACCCTGCCAGCCATTGCGGCCGTGGGCGGCAGCACTGGCAGCACCCAGGGCCAGTGCAGGTGGCAGAATGGGTTATGACATCCAGTGTTCAACAGTCTCAACAGCCAACACCTCCCCAAACTGGTTTTGTGGCATAATATTGGCTCACGTCCCGGCTGCTGCCTGTTCTCTGAGCCCAATTCCCCATCATTCCTAGTGCTGCTGTGAACTCTCCAACATCCTTTCTCTTTTCTTTTCTTTTCTTTTCTTTTTTCCTTTCTTTTCTCTTCTCTTTTCTTCTTTTCTTTTCCTTTTTAAGATTTTATTTACTTATTTGAGAGAGAGAGAAAAAGAGAGAGAGTCGGGGGAAAGGCCGAGCGAATCTCAAGCAGACTCTGCACCGAACACGGAGCCCAACATGGGGCTCTAACCCACGACCCCGAGATCAATACCTGAGCCTAAACCAAGAGTCTGACACTTAACCGACTGAGCCAGCTAAGGGCCCCACCAACATCCTTTCAGTGTCCCCTCTGCTAGAAAAATCAGCCAGCAATTTGCTTCTCAACCCTCGTTATTATCCCCTCCTGCCCCTACCAGTGGCCCCATACCTTTTCCTTATTCACTCTTAAGCATTCCTAAAAAGCTCATCATTTCATTATAGTGTCCTCTGATAGTTTTCACTCATTTCCTCAGCCAACAGAACATTCTTCTAAGAGTCCTTTGTCTATCTTTTCAATTCCTTGTTTTTGTCGCATGTTTTGATTAGGGTCTTTTTTTCTTTTTTTCTTTATTTTTCTTTTTTTTTAACAGAGGGAGAGGAAGAGGTGGAGAGGGACAGAGAAGGAGAAACTTCAGCAGGCTCCATGCCTTCTGTGAGCCTGGGCTCAATCTCACGACCCGGAGATCATGACCTGAGCCGAAATCAAGAGTCAGACGCTTAACCGACGAGCCACCCAAGTGCCCCAATCAGGCTTTTTCCAAATCAGAATTCACTAGAGACTCGATTTCCTGTGTAGGGACACTATTTTCTCTAGATGCCCCTTCCCTATTTGGACCAATTTCGACCACCATTAAAACACCTTTTGCTGAGCCCGCTGTTGGGCCCCCTAAACAGGGCTTCACCCCTTGGAACGCAGAACCTCACACAGACTGCACATATACAGCGTGTCCCGGTTCTGCGTGACTCCTTCTGGCCCTGCTCAAGTAGCTTCAGCTGGTACAGCTTGACCCTCTGTGCTCCTTCCAGGAATATCTCCCACCCCATCCAGTCAAGCTGCCTAGTCCCTCGCCTCAGAGCTGGCCCTTTGAGGCAGGTCCCCCTCCAGGCACCTGTAAATACACACGCGGGCACCTGCCCCCCTGTAAGGCCCCCAGCACGGAGGCTTCCTCTCTTCTCTGAACTTTCTGACATCTCCCCCACAGTGAGGGCATATTTCTAGCTAAACCCAGGCTATGATGAAGTCTGAAACATCACGGTCACTTTCACCAAAGTGTCCCTTTTCCTCCCCTTCAGTCAGAGTAGCCTCAGAGTAGCAATTTTTCAAACTAATTGTGTCTACATTTTGGATTCTGAGACATGAAACTATCCATTACACCAACGTAGAACCTATCATCCTATACTTACCGGAGAACTAAACTTTTTTCAGATGCCTTGATAATTAAATATTCTATTTTCTGCCAAACTCCTCGTCTCATCACGGATTGCCTCTATCTTGCTTAAAGACACTGCCCTCCTGTCAAAGAGGTGAGAAACTTTAGAATCATCTTTAATGCCACCTGCCCCCTCATCCTCAATATTTTCACAACCGCCGCCATGTCCTTTCGATTCAAGTTCAACTTTACATCACTTAAGTCTACTCTCTTCCCTATCCCCCCACTGTGTAGGCCTTTAGCATCACTTGAGTCATTGAAATGGGTTCATTCACCTATAAGAACCAGGAGCCCCGATAACAGAAAGTATCATAAAGAATAATCCTGGGGCCCAGCTCTGTAGATTTTGGAAATTTCTACCTTTTCAACCAGCTCCCGTTCCGTGGGTCTTCTAAACTATATTCTCCAGATCCTTCAGGAAGCGTCTCCATTCTTCCACAGCTGTTGAAGAACATGGCAAAGACAGTGGAAAAAGAAAGTTACACCTGCCAACTCTGTCTCTTTTTAATCCCACTGATGATTAAATCTCCCTGAGTTTCGGATCTTCTTGAAAACACAATTGCCTCGAAGGTATAAAGACATAGAAACAAACTAACGCTAATA